AGGTAATTGTAAAAAACCAGTAAGGTATGAAACAGTCAACGGATCCCGTTTTTTATTATCTAAAAACAGCAAAATACTCTGTAGAAGATTTTTATTGAGTTGTAAGCTTCAGTTTTTATAGCAACTAAATTGAACAGGGTTTTTTGGCTGATGTTATTTTCGGAGAGCAAATCAAGTGTGGGCAAAACAGTGAAGTGCGTATTTGAACTTATTGATTTGGTTGCTTTTGAAATCGGCAAGAAGACTACGGTAGTTCAGCGTTGTTTATTTAGCTCTTTGGTGGTGGTACCCTTTGCACTTTTTCGTCCACTGGACGTGATAAACACATCACGAATAATCAATGATATCTATGTGACGATGCTGCTTGAAATCATGAAACACAAAAAAAAAAAAAGTTGAATTCTAGGTTCTTTTGTCCACCACCATGCATTTACCTATTTGGAGATGGATGGAAGCACAAAAAGCGGATGGCAGAAGAGTTGTATCATCGATTTCGAGAAACGCAAAAACGGAACGGTATTGTAGATAGTGAACCTGAACGGGAAAGGGTTACGGATTTGCGGGCGACTGAGTTGTGTGCCTTTATTGGCATTGGTGCACCATCAGAACAAGAAAAACAGTCATTGGATTTTTCAAGCAATAAAGTAAGGAAGTGATGTCATACAAAATTTTCTTTCTTGCATAGAGAAATTTGTCATAAAATTTTTTGATGATATTATTTGAGAATTTTTTTTCTTTCTGAAACAAAGAACTTTGTAAGCGTGTAGATTAATAATTTCAATTTCTTCTACATTTTAGGAATTTTCCTGTAGCATAATTAGACGGTTCTTCAGCGGGCTAACTTTTAAATTTTTTTTGTAGATTAATTAGAACAATGAATATCAGTTTCCTGACTGATTTGTATTCCTCCAGCATATCTGTTTTTTTTGTTTTTTATTTTTTCTTTTGCGCAAGTGAGGTAAAATTGTGGTTGAAAAGGATTTTTTTTTAGTGCTGCTTAGTTTTTAATGCTTTCAAAAGCTTAAACATTTAAGTCTTTGAAAGTCTTGAAGAGGACAGAACTAATTGCAGTGTGCTTTACTGCTGCCGAATGCATTTTGGTTCAGTAATTTGAGCTTTTAACGGTTTATTTTGCATGCACAACATTTGCAGGATTACTGCGCTGCTAAAACGCTCTACATATCGGATGCTGATAAAAGAAAATATTTTGAATTATCTGTTCAATTCTTCTACGGGTCGGGTCATGAAATAGGAACATTTTCGTCGCAGAGAATCAAAGTGATCAGCAAACCGAGCAAGAAAAAACAAAGCATGAAAAATACAGACTGTAAATACTTATGTATTGCATCGGGCACAAAGGTAATAATCATATTCTTTGCATCTCTTCAGATTATTGTTTTCGAATCTCTTCTTGAGAATTTTCCTGATTTTTTTAATTTTTAAACTTTTCTTTAGCGGTCAATTTATTTTTGTTTGGAACTATTTAAATTAATAGGTTTATTGCTGAAGATTAAAGAAAATTGGAGGTGAATAGGTTTTAACTTGTATATACTTGGTTTTGAATAAGTCTGGTTTAAAATATTAAGGCTGCTTGTTTCTCTACTTTTTTGGAATTGCCAAAAAACGTCTGTATTTCAAATCTGCTTTTTTTCGAGTGCTATATTTGAAAGGTAATATGTTTATAGGAATAAAAATTACACTAATGCATTATTTTAGGTAGCATTATTTAATCGTTTACGTTCTCAGACAGTGAGTACACGTTATTTGCACGTTGAAGGAAACAACTTTCATGCAAGTTCAACTAAATGGGGTGCATTTACGATACATCTTGGTAAGGATCGGCATCTTTTTTGTCTTAATTGTCCTAAACCACCTCAAACAAACGCTTTTAAAGTGCTAAAATATTGTGTTATATTATTGTGTTAATTATATGGTTTTTGCTGCGGCAATTATAACGTGCTTGTAGTTGGTCAAAAAGATGTATATGTATTTATAATCCTAATTTTTTATACGCTGGTTAATTAATGTTTCTTACAGTCGACGACGACCCAAACTCAGCTGAGTCGGAAAATTTCAGTGTAAAGGATGGTTACATTCATTATGGGGCACTTGTAAAGCTAATTGACAGTGTGTCTGGCATGTCCCTTCCTCGTCTTGTTCGTTTTATTGCGCTGTCTTTGTCTGCCACTTAATGAGCCTTTAATTTCGATATTTTTTAAAGACTTTTTTTGTCTCTACTTTTCTGGCGTTAAAAATCGGTTTTTTCTCTGAAATTGGCTTTTGGACAGATTTTGTTACAGTTTCTTGTTTCTGCGTTTCTTTCTGTGAAAGGGATTTATACTTTTAGAGAATTCGTAAAGTAGATAAACAGCACGTCATTTTGGACCCTGGAGCTGGAGAAGAACCAGTCAGCCAGTTGCATAAATGTGCTTTTCAGATGCTGGATGCTGAAAATGTTTACCTGTGTTTATCACATGATAAGATTATTCAGCATCAGGTAGATCTTAATTGCATAGTTTTTTGGTTGGCAGTTTTTCTTTTTCAATGTTTTGAGCTTACGAATACTGTTGCGAATCTGTTGCGTTTTTTCAAACAGTAGAGAGGCATTGAAAAATTCACTTTTTTCTCGTGTAATGGTTGGTATTTTTCTGTTTTGCTTAAGTGGATGTTCACTTTGTACTTTTGCCTCAAAATTACTTTACTCTAGGCTATTGTTATTGACCCTACTCGGCACCAAATCAGTGACGGGGCGTCTTGGACAATCATTTCTACGGATAAGGTCTTATATTTGTTTCT